TTGTCAGCAGTATTGTGTATAGCCATCTTGTGCCAGCTCGATCGGAAGAAAGACACCCCCGCAGTGGTCTACAGTGCAGAGGCAAAAGCAGGCAACTACACCACCCTCACAGAGGTTTCAGACCACTCCTGATTTCTTTGTTTCTGATTCAGCATGTTAAGCAAAGCTAAGGCAAACCTCGGAAGCAATGGGATTAATAGAAGACGTTATGATGATTGGATATATTGACTATATCATACCATGCAAGTGCATTTTGAACTTCTTTGTTAAGGGTATTTTCTATTCACTATGTAATCCCTAATGAGCTGTAAATTTGGGCTGTGCCACAAAAAACAGAACTGTGAAAGACTATGTTCCTTTTTTGATAAATATTTCTATCCAGTATAACCAAGAGGGATATGATAAGTGACAGAGTGTTAACTGCTTTGCGCCTTTGAGCTCTGTGTTTAGAGACTGGTGGTAATTCTGCACCAACATGGAGCGTAATCTAGTACCTCTGATCTGTGATCTTTAGCACCGGCAAGCAAGAAAAGAAGTAAAAATTCAGAGTTTAAAGCTAATGTGCTCAGTAAAAAAAGCACTTATGAGTAGTATGGGTGGATTAAATCTTAACCGATATTTTGTAGTTTGGTAGCTTTTCATTTTTCTTTAACTCTGACTTTTTTTTCCATTCAAAGCTTTTTAATACTCTCATATTTGATAAGACTGGGGTTCAGTATAAGGTGCCTTTTTTTCATTGCTCCGTATCGTTTAGATCAGCTGCTAAAGAAAAAAAAATCCTTCAATCCAGTTTCTTCCTTAGCCTTGCTGTGGCACATCCCACATCCTTTATCCACTGCATAAATGGTAAATGGCCTGTATTTGTATAGCGCTTTACTAGTCCCTAAGGACCCCAAAGCGCTAATAAATGAAAGGACAAAAGGAAAATATACAGCTTACAGTTTACACCTATAACTGTGTAAACCACAGTTAATGTATTGATTGTTGTTCCCCAGGTTTGTGGGAACATTTTAGAAAAATTCGAAAGACTGTTTTTCATTGTGTAATAAAACATTTTATATTCCCTTCATATAGCTTTGTTTTGTTTTGTAAACTTAAATTTGACATAAAATCAAGTGAAATGATGAAACCAGTAATGATTTATCAAGTTATGCAACCCTTAGGTTACAAGCCCACTTCTTAATGGCTACAGCTTTCATAAACTAACAATACTAATTACTAAATAACTAATTAACTCATTCACTGCCAGCCATTGGCAGTGAATGAGTTAAACCCATTGACTCATTCACTGCAATTGACGGCTATAGACGTCAATGGCAGTGAATGAGTTAAGTACAATGATGCCTCAATTTTGACCTGTTCCACAGGATTTTTTAAAAGACATTTTACAATTAGAATTCATCTAAAAATGATTGATATGATGGCACTGATTAAACTAAAAAAGTCTCTACACTATTTTTTGAAAAGCCCCCTCTGTTTCATATGTCTTTGTGTATTTGTTGCAACACATCTGTTTTATATATCTTAAGAAAACCTTTTGTAGTGACGATTCCATTGTTTGTCCAAACAAACATTCAACAATTTAAAATCCACAAGCCACTGCTGCACTGTGGTGATATTTTACACACAAGCAAAAAAAAAGTCCAATGTCCAAAACTTGAACGTTGCGTTTTATGGTTAATTTATTGAGTTTGGCAAGCAATAAACAAAAATCAGTTTTTACTCTTTCCTGTTGCTTCTGCTCTCGTAAAAAAAAAAAGAAAAAAGAAAAATAGGCCCACCCCAGTGCATGCTGGTCCTATACTAGTCCTAGTACTTACAGAAAATGGCCCTACAGTTCATCCTGGCTGACTTACAAAGATAAACAAATTTCAAAATAATAAAAATAAAGAATAAATGGCTCCAACACTCTGGCACCTAATTGTGCATACAATCACAGTTACTTCAAAATTCTTTAAAAAAGGAGCTATTCCCTCCGGCATGTCCTTAATCTTCATTGATGATGTTACTTCTTCAAGACGATGCTTCCAGTAGCAAAAGAAGTGTTGCCACTGGCCTTTCCAAAACACAGGTCTCTGTAGCATCTGCAATCAAGACAATATGTCCAGGTATAAGACATCTTTTAGTCCCCTGCTATTTTTGTCTTTCTTGCATCAGAGGTATGTCTTTAGAAAGCCATCTTTTCCAGAACAGCTTTGCCATGTACTGTACCCATTTCCACCTTTTCCTAGCATGAAGATCACATTGATCAAACACTCCTGGTGGCAAAATTGGTTTGTTTTTCAGCAGCAACAAATAATTGGGTGCGAGTGCTTCAAGATAATTGAGTCACTGCAAACTCTGGTAAAGGCTCTGTCGTTCAATATAGCTTCAGCTTCACAGAGGACTGTTTGGAAGCCTTCATCTTCCAAAGCTTGTTTTTTGAGAACTGAGACTAAAATACTCCTTATGGAACGAATGAGACGCTCCCACACATCACTTTGGTGAGATGCTGCCGGGACATTAACGTCCCATTTGATGCCATCCTGAATAAAAGCGTTTTGAATTTTAGCATAGTTCAGCTCAGCCAAGCTCTCTTTCAGCTCTCAATTTGCACCAACAAAATGTTTAGCATTATCAGATCTGATGGACGAAACTGGGCCTTGTCTATAGATGAACCTCCAGACAGCATTTGTACAGCAGTCTTTACTGAGTGTTTATGCAATTTCCAGATGTACTGCACGACTGGTCAAACAAAGAATAAGAAACCCATACCTTTTAAAGAGACTTTGTCCTTATAGGCCCAAAGTAGACCACTCCAACATTTGTGAACGGAGCCGTGTATGGCAGGACTCTCTCTGCGCCATCTTTTGTTCAACAAACTTTTCTTTGTTGCGTGTACACATGATACAACAAGAGATTATTTTCTTGGCAGCCGAATTTGCATTTACTATCCAGTCTTTTTGTCTTAGTTTTGACAGGATGTACGCTCTTCCTACATGTGCCAAGTTTTGACGGAAATGCCGTAAAATCAGTGTTAACACATTTATTCCCCTGCATCCAATGCTGGGTCGAGCTTGTAGGGAGAACTTCCCCTTGGAAACTGCTTTGAGGCCATTGCTTATTAAAGCCATTTCAGTTTTACATTTCTGTTGTTGTGCATGCTGAATAACAGCTTGTTCTGCTTTGGCCAAATCTTCTTGAGTCAGATTTTCCCATTCTTGTTTCCATTTCTTTCTTTTGACTTTCCAGATCATTTTCATTCAGATCTGCAGCAACAAACTCTTTCCTCTTTTGTCCCAGCAACACCAAGGTCTCTTTAAAACCAGGCTACTGAGATTTGAAGTTTTGTCCAAGATGAGAAGTAATGAATCAGACAGTTTGTAGCATCTTGTGATTCCTTCACAAAAAATGCTCACTGTCAGGTCCTTTGTGACCTCTGGGTCATTTGCAGGAATTGCACTGTGATCCACATCCATTTTAGGCCATTCCTCTGACTTCTGGCCTATTTATTCATCTCCTACATTTGAGAAAATCCTCAGCTTTCATGCCTCTGGATGCGTCGTCTGCATGGTTCTTCTTAGAGGAAACATATCTCCACTTATTCACATCTGTTGCTTCTTGAACAACATAAATTCTATTTGCAGCTAAGGTATTAAATCTTCTGGCTTCCTTGGAGATGTATTTCAGTACTGTTGTGCTATCAGTTCAAAAAACAGATTTTTCAAACTTTTCCTGCAACTCTTTTTGCAGAAGTTAGTTCACTCAAACTGCAAGAACTGAAGCTGTCAATTCCAGCCTGGAAATTGTAGTTTGCTTAAAAGAAGCAACTCTAGCTTTTCCCAGGTTAAAGGCAGCATTTGAGATGTTATTCTTTTCCAGTTTTAAATATGACACTATCCCATAACCATCCGGACTTGCATCAGAAAAATGATGAAGTTGTGCTTTATCTGGTCTTCCAGTGGAACTTGGTTTAAGAAAGCATTCCACTGAATCAGCTGGAGCTCCTCCACCCAATCACGCCCCCGCTTAGAGGGAGAGTGGGGAATAACTTCGTCCCACTTCAAATTTTGTCAACAAAAGTTCTTGTAGCAACAGTTTAGCTGGCATACTGAAAGCAGACAAGATTCCCAAAGGATCATGCAGTGAGCCGATCACAGACAAAATGCCCCTTCTACTTGGTGGACGATCCTGCGGAGAGTTTCTGAACTTGAACTAACCCAGTGCTCTCTCAATTGGAAATTGATCCAAATCCAGACCCTTGATTTCCTTTGCTCTCCTTTCCTTTGGGATTGAGATGTGCACTGTGTGACTGTTGCTGATCCATTTTGAAAGCTCCTCCTTTAATGCAGATATCAGCCTCTGCAGCATGCGCACTGCCTCTTCTTGTGAAGCAACAGATTTTAAACAGTCATCCACATAAATGTTCCTTCTCACAGTATCCATCCGTAGTGTGGTTATTTTAAATATAAGAGAAACAGAAAACTCTAAAAATATAATAATTATAATTAACAATAATTAATATAGCCAATACCGCCACCAAGAGATACCAGCTTTTGAAGATGGACAGCACAGCCCTGTTTTAAATACAGTCAGAACAACAACACCGGGCTGCTTGTCAACAATTTAGACGTGGATGCAAGATGACATGGAGCATGTTATAGTTTCCTTTTTAATATGATGGACTGAACACAGGCGGTATCTGCTTTTGTCTATGCAAAGGTGAATCTATTTCTATCTGTCTCTACTGTTTCAAGATTTAACTGAAGTGTGCTCAACTGTAACTGTCAGGATATGTTTATTCCAGCTCTCATAGGGCAATGAAATTAAACTGACTTATGAAATGTTCTTTGATTAGGTACACATTGTGAAGTTCATCATTTTCTTACAAATAAAACTATAATGACAAACTCACATGCATAAGATGAGAGCACACTGTTGGTATTGACTCATCATTATTCTCAGCTGTCAGACCATCTACAAGACTAGATAATGTTTGACAACCGGGAAGCACTTTCTCTTCAGAGCGGGACCACGCCAGCCTTGTCCCGGGTGGACGAGGAGAAGCCTCCCATCATCCTGTAAGCAGACCGATATGGGCCAAAACCATCATCCGGGGAGCTGTCCTGGCTAATAGCCCTCCCCCAACACGACTGCACCCAGTAAACAACAGTGGAGATACACTACTCCAAAATTAGGCAGAGGTGCACCTCTGTCCTTATGATCACATGCATTGTCTCCTATTGTCACCACATTACACAACCTATCAGATGCCTCGCTTCTATACATTCCTTCTCATCATATCTGGGACCTCCTCCATTGCTCTGCAGCTTCCCTTTAAATAGGTCCCATGACCAGCTGATAGGCCACCTCAGGACACACCCACGCCTCAGCAGGTGATTGCTATTAGGCAATTTGTAGGAGTCCTTTAAACCAGTCCTTTATGCTTTCATTGCTCTCAGGCACCATAGTACTTTGGAACATAGTTCTGACAATTGCAGGCAGAGGTTCACCTCTGGAGCCTGAGAGCAATGAGAACATAAAATGCATGCACACAAGAAGGAGACGGGTGGTGGTTTAAAGGACTCCTTCAAAAAACTACTTGTTGAGGCAAAGGTAAGCAAGATCAAACTCCTCTGTGGAGTTTACTGAAGGACACAGATCCAGATGTACAAATAAGATTTGTGAAATGGTGACTGTGATGCATGCATTTCTCTATAAGAGGCACAGCTATAATCCAAAGAATGATCAGGAAGGGGCCTTATGCAAACCTGAAATGAAAGATGAGTGAAATGTCCTGTGGTATTTTTTTTAACTGGCATGATGGACAGATTTTGCAAACAGGCCAAGACTTCCTGTGGTGGTGGAGGACCTCCCTCTGGCTGAACGCAGTGACTGGTGTGAGGGTCACAGCCCAGAGCTTTGAACACTTCCGAGCTACAACATAACAGAAACCAAAAGATTTCAGGGGGTCAGCAGAATGAACAAAAAACAAGCTACACTTCACCAAAGTGTGGTTTTTTTTTTGTCCTGGCAAATTAGTTCATGTCACCAAGCATGGACTTTTTAATAACTGGGCTGGATTATTTTGTAATTTGTCAATTTCTTCCTCCACAATTAGAAAGATTTGGCTGTTATTTGCATTTTTGTTTTTTGTTGTTGTTCGTTTTTTCTTTTTCTTTTTTTTACAGCCATCATCATTATTAGAATCAATGTAATTAATTAATCCCCGGGGAAATTATGTAAGAGACTTTACTCACTTTAAGTTTTTTTTTCCCAATACTACAGTGTTACAGCAGAATGCGACCACTTTTGAATTGATGGCGACATAGTTATTTAACTAAATCACAGCATATGTGCTGGTAAGTAATCCTAATTTGGTATCTGTAGTATAATCACCAGTGGAATCACAACACTCCAATAACAAAAACAACCACCTTAGATGATACAAATGAGAAAACATCTTCTCAAACACAGTCCATGCTTCCTGGTGAGAGTCTTCGTTCTTGTCGTCATCACTCATGACGACATCACAGGTGGATTCTCCCTCTGTAGGAAGATTTGGCTGTTAAACAATTTGAAAAATACATTTTAAAAAAAATTGCTAATTAGAAAATACATACTTGTCTCTGGGTAATGTTTAGCTCATTATCAGACTTTTTAAGACCATAAAAATACATACCTTCCTGACTACAGGCACAATATACATGACACAAAGAGACACAACAACCATAGTACATCATTAACTATTCATGTGGCTGCAAACAGTCATAACGTAAACATAAATCAATTGAATTAGGTCTTCAAATGTGCTCACTTGACATTGCAGGCTCATCAAAATGGCAAGAGATGGCTTTTGGAACCTGTGTTGATCTTTTATTAAAAGCCTCCAGAAGCTCTAAGACTCCTTCAACGGCCACTGAGACAGCTCCACGGTCTGTCTCACTCACTGTTTTACCTGAGAACGAACACACACACACACAAAAAAAAAACCTGACTTATGGTTGTGTAATGTGGTGACAGTAGGAGACAATGCATGTGATCATAAGGACAGAGGTGCACCTCTGCCTAATTTTGCAGTGTTGCTGTATTACTGTTACAGTCAGGCGTGCCTTATAAACTTTAAACTGTCCACAAACATACATATAAACAGGAAAAAGAACTGCTGTGAATTTGAAAATAGAATACGAGCACAAAGTGACAAAGGTCCTACGCCTGCTGCTTACATTATAACATAATATTGACACAGCAATGCCCTTGACAAGTTTACAATGTATATTATGGTGACTTTAATTTCTTGAGAAAGTGTTAGGTGTTAGTGCCACCTAGTGTCTGTGCAATGAAGTCAAGTAATGACAAAATGCTTCCTTTAATTGACAAACTGAAAAGAAGACAATTCTGTTGTAATGGATAGAAAGGTTGACCTGTTGCTGTTGTTTATAAGGGTGACATTTATTTATCAAGTCAACAATTTGCCCAACAGCCTGTCAGTCAGCTCTTATATCAGCTAATGGAGATTTAAGTAAGTGAAATTATATTTGTATAGAACCTTTCGAGATAAAAAAAAGTGCTTTAGAAAAGATAAAACAAAACTGAACCAAAAGCAAGTTTAAAAAAAAAAAAGAGTTTTTAGCTGTTTTATAAAAGAGACCACTGAGTCCACAGATCTCAAACTCAAAGAGGGAGAGTGTCAGGGTCTGGGGCCACAGTTACAAAAGCTCTGTCACCTTTCGTTTTCAGCTTAGTTTTATGGACAACCTGCAAGAACTGATCACATGACCCCAGGGACCTGCTAGGGATGTACGGATGTAAACTATCTCTGATGTTGATTTTGGCGCTTGTCCATGCAGAGCCCCGAATGTCAAAGTCATAATCTTAAAGTGGACTCTGAATTTAATGGGGAGCTAGTACAGCTGCATCAGCAGGTGCGTGACATGCGAGTAGTTAGAAGACTTGGTCAGAGACCTTGCAGCAGCATTCTGAACAACCCAGCAGATGTTCCAAGAGGGGCCTTACATAAACAAGTGAACAAACAATTACAATAGTGCAAATGAGATGAAACAAATGCATGTGTAACAATTTCCAATTCAGAGCATAATACAATGGGACTCAATTTAGCAATATTTCTCAAGTGATAAAAACAAGAGTGAACCAGAGAAACAGGAGCATAATGGAGACATTAACTGTCTTTAATTTGTTTCTGCCGTCATAAGTTTCCACTCACTGATGCTCTCTGCGTCCTGCTGCATGGACTGGCCCCACAGGAGAGGTTCCTGGCTCCTCAAGCAGTTGTAGATGTAGGAGATGGCTGGAGTTGCCAGGTGGGCCACAGAACCCGACAGGCTTCTCCTTCTTTTAAGGGAGTCCATCTCCTGAAGCCCCATCAAGGGAATGACGATCACCGGGAAGCCCAGACCTAACAGAACATGAAGTAAACACAGAATAAGCAGGTAGTACTGATTAGAGTTAATCCATAAAAAAATATTCTTTAAACATGGAAGTGGCATTACCTTTTCTTAATTACAATTTTCTGATCAGGTCTCTTCTAACTGTATTGATCCTGGAATGAAATAATTTTTTGGGTGCAATTGCATGATCATGAAGCCTGCTATGAAAGCTAAATCCCCCCTCACAGTCCCAGCATGTTACTTTAGGGAACGTTAAAATGTAATATGCTGTTCTATCGAGGTAGAAACACATTTTCAAGATAAAAGGCTAAATACATTGTTTGAAGATAACTTAAGTGTTTCACTCATGACTGAAAAATTACAACTCTAGCAAAATGCCTTAACAACATTAAATGTTAGAAATCATTCTACAAAACACGGTTAATATTAGTTACGTCCAAGACATGTCGCTAAAATCACATCTACAACCCCAGCAGTCTAAATATGTGACATACCAATACTCAAATGCATGCCCTGAGTTTCTGATGGCTTATTAATCTTTGCATTTATCAGCAAACTGACATGATGACAGTGTTTTAATACCATTTTAACACATTTCATGTGAAATAAATGAGTCATATGGAGACAAAACCAAAACACTTTTTTTTTTTTTTTTAACAACAAATTGAAATTCCTGGAAACTGAGAATAAAATAGAAAAATCTTATTGAATCTGTATCTGACCTCACAGGATGTGAGGATTTGTGACATCCAGTACAAATAGTAACTTTAGTAACTTGATACTGCTAGAAAACACATTCATGCCGGTTAGACGACAGATCTGGGACGCATAAGCCAAACCACAATCGGGCCAGATGTGGCACGCCATCACATAAACAGTGCCATCATTACCAGACCTGGCCCACATCTGGTTGACATACGCCTTACCATGCCAGTCAGCCAGCAGTGTCTGGCTTCACACTAGAGCCGGGCCAGACCTGACTGTTACGTGGGATTGTCTATAAAAACAGAATACTGTCACCTTGGACTGAAAATATGCAGTTTGCATTTTCACTTGTTCTTCTGGCAGTTGCAAACTTAAAAGGGATTCTTGCAAATCTGGTAAAAAAAACAAAAACCATAAGCCCACCCCAGTGCATGCTGGTCCTATACCAGTCCCTTTACTTAAAGTTAATGACCTTGCAGTTCTTCCTGGCTGACTTCCAAAGATAAATAACAAAACAAAGAATTAAGCAATTATTAACCTACAAATAAAACGTGTAAATATCCCAAAATAGGTCAACCAAGAAAAATTGTGACAGTATGCAGTTGGAGTGATTTTAGAGAGTATCGTCTTGTTGATGGTTATCATTCTATTATTCGTAGGACTGGCTTCCCACCCTGAGGTATCACCGAGTTGACTTTAAAATGTGGAGTTTCTGTGGGTTTTGTGTGTGTGTGTGTGTGTGTGTGTGTGTTTGTTTAGTTTAATCCAAAATGTGTTTTAAAAGACACAGTATTGTTTGTAATAATATTTTTAATATTACTTTGTTTTTGTTGTGCTGCTAGTTGAAGAGCTGAAGAAGGAATACCTGAGGCTTTTGCCGCTGACGGAAAGCAGCAAAGAGTTGCTCGACGATTTACAGACAGATGTAAGAAACCTCGTAGTTTGAGGTTGCGAGTCAGGATGTCCATGTTTTTGCAATCACACTGAAACATACCTCTGTTAATACCTGTAGCCAATTTGAGGTAATTAGGAAGTGGTTGTTTTGCAGTTGTCTCTAAGTATTCTTATGTTCTCCTTTGACTTCCATCTCAGTTGGAGTGTTGTAGACTTCAGGGCTACCAGGACTGGAAGTCCAACATCCCAAAATCCTGCCTTTGTGCCAAAGAGTCCACTAATCTGTGTGTAAGTGTGAAAGCTAACATGCCTACACTGTGTTCTTCTGTAATAGAACCTGTTGATATAAGGCTGTCATTATTAGTAGTGTTCATTCATTATGGAGGACCAATTGATTTAAAAACACTTGAATGTTGAAATGTTGCTTCGAAGATGGGGACGAGTTCAGTGACCTCCTGTATCAGCTGCCAACTTCAAAACAATTTTAATGAGTCGAAACAAGGCAGAGTCGGCCTGGCATCACTTTGTGATTGAATGGCATCAAGTTGGCAATTACATGCAATCTGTTTTTGATAATACGGCAGTTAACTGGGATAAATTAGCAAATTTGCTCTCCACATACACCAAAATTATTCAGATTTTTTTTTAAATTACAAATAAATTTTTAAACATTACTCTGGTCTCTGTTATCCCTGCTTGTCATTCTTTTTTTTTTCTTAAAATGATTATGTTTTCTAGGTGGAAACTCTTGGAGGCAGCTGGGAGGAAAATCAGACTGTTATGATTTATGAACAGGAATTAAAGACATTCTCATCAGTTTTTCCAGGAACCTTTGCAAACTCTATAAGCTGTTATGGTGTCATCTTATGCAACTGAGATGCAAATTGTTTGTTTCATCTTTAGAAAATATGTATCCTATTAAGCCTTTCCTGTTTCAGGGATGCCTTACGTACCTTGTTGAAATCCTCATGCATGGATTTAAGATTTTTTTTGGGCACGTTACTGGGATTTTTATTATTGTGGGTAAGTACAGTCACAATCTACTAATTTAGCATAAAAGACTAGAAAAATGGAGTTTAAAGAAACCAGAGGCGAGCAAGTGTCTGTTTTCTTTGGCTTTTCTGCCCTCCTCAGTCTCTTTCTAAAATTGCAAGAGGACTCAAAGCAAGTCAAGAAACAACAGAAGATGAACAGGAAGTAAAATAATCAATCTTTGTTTCACTTTCCTGTAGATGTAGTCCCTCGTGTTGTGTAGAGCCATCTTGTGCCAGCTGAATCGAAACAGAGACACCTCGGTAGTGAACTAAGGTGCAGAGGCAAAAGCAGGCAACTGCACCACCCTCACAGAGCCTCCAGACCACTTCCGATGTCTTTGCTAGTTCTGATGCTTCCAGCAGTGATGGCCATTATTTAAGCATGCTAAATAATAAATATATTTATGATAATTGGTTATATTGAATATATCATATCCTACAACTGCATTATGGACTGCTTTATTATGACTTTCTGAATTTCAACTCAGTTGATTGAGATTATTGATCTGGGATATCAACACTGAGTGAAAATGCACTGTTTAAAGCTAATATAACTAAACATATATCAAAAACAAACTGAATATCATGTGTGAATTGTTTTAATACTTGATGATTCGGTAGCTTTTAATTTTTTTATACTGTATAAAATTTGGTTTGTCGATGTTTTGTTGTTGTTGTTGTTGTTTTTTTTTAACTTTTTTTTTTTTGTATTTCGAGTTTTACATTTCTACTTTGTGTTCATTTTTTAATACGATGTGTTTGTTATATACTGGTGTTTAGTATGAGGTGCCTTTTTTTTTTCACTGTGCTGTATCATTTAGGCCAGCTGCCAAAATTTATTACATTTAAAATGCATACAACTATCATTTACATTCCTCAGCATCTGCTGCTGGGTTAACCGAGCTGTTAGCGCCATTAAGAGGACGGGCAGTTTCAGTTTCGTACGAAAACAAAATAAAATGAAGACGAAAAAAAAAAAGACAAAACTTGTTTTATTCATTCTATTTACAAAATATTACATCATGTCATGCAAATAAAAAAACAAAAACAGTGTGTGACAGAAACAAAGACACCATACGTTGCCAGAACGTGTATATTAGGCAATAATGGTTAAAGTGCACAGGTAGACACTGGATCTGCTGCTTCAGATTAAATTAATTTGACAATATATGAGTCGAGTAGACGTTTCAACAGCAGGCAGCTCATGCAGCAAGTTAAAGTAGACGCGGCGTGGCATAAAGGCTTCTTTGGTGAGAGTTGCATCAGTTGGGGCGTTACAGTCTCTGCAAGAAATTGGGTGGCACATTTTCCTACAAGAGCCTCTCACAACCTCTTTGCAGCAGCCTTGCCAACATCTGTGCAAAACCTTCAAATCAAAGAGGATTTTACTGCGTGTCTACTGTATGTGCAACAAAATAGAATCCCCTCTCCTCCTCCTCACCCGCTTCTCTCTGCTGGGCATGATCACACAAGGTCGAATTTTTAGATGTGCTTTAAGAAAAACTGAAATCAGCGACAAGGTTTCAGATATTCAGTGTGCATAACAAGGCATCAAAACATTCTGCCGTCCCAGAGACATGTGAATCATTCCCTTGTCTCACCTGATTATGCAGTAATATGCATGGCTAAATGAATAACTGAATCAAAGCACTTTGTAAACAGTGTTTAAAAAAGCTGCTACATAAAGGTTATTAATATTATTTTGCAAAGATTATTAGTTGCTCTAATGCTTAAAAGTCAATGTGTGCTTAAGACAAGTATTCGTGTTTCATTACGCCATCTTGACTTGAGGTACATACGTCAAAACTCAGAACTTACAGTTGGCTTCAGTGAGGCAAGCTTTCAATAAAACATCGAAGCAGATTAATTATTATTAGATTAATATCTGCCTTTTGAAAGCCTCACTGATATATATCCAAAAGTCTTAATGCACAGAACAAAAAGCCAGAAAAAAAAGCATAAGAAAATGTGATAACTAGTTCAGATTGATTAATGTCATTAAATTGCACTTTTTTTCTCTCTCTCTCTTTTTTTTAAAATTTTTTTTTACAGCAGTAAGGCAGACGAGTCATTTAAATCTTATCTACTGTGCGCAAGTAGATTACTTTTAGACATGCATTTAAACATCAACACAGAAAAATGATAAGACAGCCAGGTTATGGAAATTAGGATGCGTGTATTAAAACAGCAGGGGGCTAGAAAGCACCGGGAACGTATCTGTTTGATTCGAGAAGAGCCATAAAGTCCTGTTTCCTTCTGATCTGGTCCATCAACTTGATGCTCATAACAAGTAAAATAACCTGGAATAGAAAAGAAAAGTTAGCACAAGGAAAATATTTCAAGATGCTTTTCACCAACATATAACAATATATATATAAAAACCACATACCCAAAACACTCCACTTCCAAACTGTATACCCATCGACAACG